GGGGGGGGGGGTTGCTATGAAAAGAGGAAATATGTAAAGGATAACATGCTCATACCAAATTACTTTTTTGCGTAAGTATATTTAACTTATATAAAATGAGCATTTATTATCTGCACACGGGCCCATTGAGCTATTTAGTTGTACATATTCTAACAGCATTGAAGCTGTTGACTTGTTTCACCATTTAGTTTATTGTAAATATATTTTGAAAGGGCTATTATTGTCTATTATTCAACGATGAGACACATTTTATATACAACTTTTCTACACAACATTTTCAAAGTATTTTTTTTTTACATTTCCGTAGGCCAATAATGTGCCATCCCTATTACTATGCTCAGTAAAGGAACTCACAAACAGACATGTAACTTTGTGTATGTTGAATAAAGGATTGTATTTTTCAACAGATTGCGCTGTAGATACTCTTTTGTAGCACTGATGTTAATTCTCTCATTGACCAGTAGAGGTCCTCAGATAACAGACAAACATGTATCTATGTTGCTGACAGTAGTGCGCTTACTTTGGGAGATTTACTGTATCTGTTTTGCGATCATGTTTTTATTTTTGTAAATCTTTTTAAACAAAAAGTTGAGAGCACTATTTAATCACAACACTTAAGTATAATTAACAGTTATCAATCTCAGGGGCTTATTCTATACGGCTTATCATCATATTCGATCAGACATAACAGCGTACGTGTCACGTGCATGAAATGTCGTTAAGATGAGATGAAGTGCTCATCATTTCTCTGAGTCTCTCTAGCCTCAAATACTGAGATGCCGAACCAGAAAATCTAAACAGATTAATGTAAGACAAGCCTGACTGAATTGGGACTTCATGAATAAACATTTATTTTATTATATATTTATTTGTCTGCACTATTCTTATTGATGTGGTATTCTGTATGCATTGGAAATACTGAAAGGAAGAATGCAACACCTATCCAATCTGAGGAGTTTCATTTCAAACTCATTTATAGATCCTGTTTAAAAAGGAAAATATAAATGTGACATATTTATAAAACAGAAATATCTGTTCTCAAAATCAAAATGACTTGTAAACATTTTTGTTTACTCTTCAGATGGGTCACAAATCTAGCCACCGCCATTTGGTTTTAGCTTCAACCCTAGCAGCCATAGTGTACAATCAGCTGTCCGATTCATCTCGTTTCATAAACACGTCGATAACAAAAGTATTTTTGCTTTACAAACTATCTGGTGGGAGAATGCGGTCAAAGTGAAGCATAAAAGCAACAAGTTTGATGTGCAAAATACCACACTGTCAAAAAGAATACAAAACGTCCAACAAGAATCTAAACAGCGCAGTGGAAACAATTGTATGAGCCGTTTTCTTTTTCTATCTGTTGTGCTTGCTTTCCCCCTATCTGTTGGTGTGTGTGTGTGTGTGTGTGTGTGTGTGCGTGCGTGTGTGTGTGTGTGCGTGTGCGTGTGTGTTTTCTGTCTGCCTGGTTGTTGAACAAACTGCAGAGAGATAATACTCCCTCAAAGCCCCAGTCTGTCTGGTCAGTCAGATGAAGAGCTGGTTATTTTTAACACTGCAGGGGGGGTTGTTCAAGTATCAGAGAGGCCAAACTCCCCCTCTGTGAGTGTAGGAGCCCATCTCACTTCTGTGTATTCTTTTCCACGGTGGGGTCACTCCAACTGGCTCGGAAAGAGACAGAGGGATTTGTCCGGCAGACAACGAACACTGAAGAAATGCTGAGATAAATTGGACGGGGCTGATATAAAGTCACAGAGGACACTATGCAGCAGACACAATTAGGCTTGAGGAATGTGCTAGCAAGAGGACAGGTGATAAAATCAGGCACAGATAAAGTCCCAGATGTACCTGGTTCCAGCCTGATTCCCCTCTTCTTGAGCTAGATTCTCAAGCAGTATGGCAGCCGGGTGTGTTATTGGGGCGTAGTAGACCTGTCGGGTCTCTAAACTGGACAAGAGGAACTTTCGCGATCTTTACGTCCAGGATTATTTTACACTCTCTCACTACAAACTGCAAGCAGCTGTAACTTTTGCAAAAATCTTTTTTTAGCAGCTGATATGTGATCTGAGATAAACTGGAACAGTAAGGGATGAAATGTGGCAGGCTCTTTTTTTTTTATGCAAACCAAATTGGTCTTCCAGCTTTTGATCAGGAGACAGCTGACTGAAGTATAGTTTAGACAGCTGCAGTGCTCCAAAGCTATAATAGCAATAAAGGATTTGTTAGATAATTGATGTCTTTATATATGGATGGATAGACACACGTGTCATGGTCTGAAAAACCTAATACTGGTGCTGCCAGGAAAAATACAGGAAGTCCCATAGTCCCCTGCTGTGCATATAAGGCCTATCAGCTCTCTCCTGCATGCTGCCTTGTCGTAGTCAGCCACAGTTACATTGATTTCCTCTTTTATTTGCCTTTAGATGACTATGTCGTGCGTGGCTTTAAATTTCTAATTTAAAATGGGGGAGTAGCCTAGTTTAAATGAATCATAAGTTCAGTGACTGACCATGTGCACACATTTTGAAGGAACAAGATGTTATCAGTCATCCGATATGTTAACTACTTCTGGCTTTTTGTTTTAATGTCTTTTTTAAGACCATGTTTTTATGTCATGGGAAGAGTAATTTCATTATTTTACTTTTTCAGTAATAATGCCAAGTGGCCAAGTAGGCCAGTTAGATCCAGATGGTGCTTTGAGTGAATTAGTTTCAAATGGATCAGTCACCCAGAGTCCTGTCTTGAGTAATAACCTCAATCAGGAATACATAAACTAAGCATAACCAAGTTAAGTGTTGCTGTTCGTTTCAAGCCATAAAACCAGTGAACAGATTGGGGGGAAAAAAATTAATTTATGCAACATGTTTGGTATAATCTTTAAGGCATAAACATCATTGTATGATCATAAAAACTAAACCGAGATTCATAATTTACTGTTAAATAAATTCTATACTGACTGTATTCAAATTATTAATTCCCTGGGTACATATTTTGAAGAACAACTAACAAAGATGGCATCAGATTATTTTCACTGTTTTCACCGTCTTTAGCATCATCTTCATGAGTGGAACTCATTTCTCATTTCATAAAAAGAGATTTTACATTTTCATTAATAAAACAATGGAAGGTTGCAAGCTAGACCCAGTTTGTTCCCTCAATACATTTTTGATTCAAATAGACAAATCCCCACCTGCACAATCTTAAGAACAATTTTAAATCTAAGTATGATTTTTTATAACCTCCCATTTGTTGTTTTATTTTGTCATTTTCAAAGGAAGAATGCAACATTTTGCCCAACTCAATCTGAGGAGTTTACTGTTAAACTAATTTATAAATCACTTTTAAAAAGAGAAAATATCTTACATATTTCAAGAACAAACAATCCTGCTCATTTTGTGATTGAACATCTTCAGTTAGACCCAGTTTGTTCCCTAAATATATTTTATGTTTCAACAAGATTCACCAAATGCACAATGTCATGTGACCTCAAGCAAGGTTAATGGTCCATACATTCATCCATTAAATCCTGGAAAACACAGTTCACCCATAAAACTACATACAAATATTATAATAGCATATTTAAAATGCATATCCAGGAATACGTAAATGCAATAAATTTACAATCTGACATGCATATTTACACATATTGACATAATAAAATAATATTATACATTTAAATGGTAATGTAGAGATGTATTAACTCAAACGATCCTCATATTTTGATGGTATTCACTCAGTCTTTTGATAATGTGAGAACATGTTTTATTTACCACACAGCCGTGACCTCAGTGGCAGAAGGGTACACGCAGCAGCAGCAGCCCTCCCCTTTAAACACGCGCGCACACCCCTTTAAACGCGTCACGAGCCCGGCTGGCTGGCTGGCTGGTATCTGGCTGTGTGGTGTGTGCGGTCGGACTGTGGTCGTGTTGCAGGTCGGGTCGTGTTGATAACGAAACACTTACGGGACGCATTTCATCGCGGAGAGATGGGAATGTTGAAGAAATGTCTGTAAAAGAAATGTCTCTAACGCTTCTGGCCCTGGTCGGGTTGGCGGCTCTCGGTGATGGTAAGTTTCATGTGAGCGCCTCTCCGGCTTTTGTCTCGGTGTGTTTTCCTGGACTGGGCATCGCCTGTTGTCGCTCCTCGTCATGGCGCTCTGTGTTGGGGATTTGGGCTAACCCGTGTCGAGCTAGCGTCGACCCCGGAGCCACGGCTGCTGTTAGTCCCGAACCAGAAGTCATGCCGCGTTTGTTTGTTTGTGTTTGACAAAAACTCGACGTGTGACTTGGTCCTTATTGAACAAGTAGCTACCACCACAACAACAACATGGTGGTGCTGTTTGTTTCGAGGCGCCAGCTAACGTTGGCTAGCTCACTGCATAATGGACTTAAAGTTGAATACTGTTGATAAGTGTGGTTCGTTTGAGAGCTACACGACTGAAATAAAATCATGCATTATGGCGTAAAGGCACACCAGGTGGCGACTAATAACCCAGTCTGCTGTTGATGTTTTAAGTTATCTGTTGCTGTTATGCTAACATATTTACAAAACAATCTCGTGTTGGGTTGTGACTGCTTATCACTGCTCTGGTACAGCACTCTGTGGTGATAGCAGCCCGGTGGAGCATGTGGTCACTGACAGTCTCCTCGCATGTTGTGTGCCTCTGGATGGAGCAGAAAGGAGTCACTGAACGAAGGCCTATCCTCTGCTGTGCATGAAATGTGTTTTTTTAGATAGTAAACACTGGCAGCTCTTACATTGGTGTCTATTTGTAAGGAGTGAAAAGGCTGCTTAGTGGCCTCCAGCAGACAGTGAATGCTGGCGTAGGGTGACAACAGCCGTGCATTCAGCCGTCCCAGACACAAGTCAGAGTTGAAGTCTGGGTTCATTGTGATGGAAATGTGGCAAGTGGGGTCTTTTGAGGCAGCCAGTTATGGGGCTGCTTCAGTCTGAATCCTCCCCGTCTGCCCGGGCAGCTGACACCCAACCCCACACCGGGCCTGTGTTGTACTAAAAACCCCGCGCTTGCCTTTTGCAGCTTGTCTAATCATCTTTAACTTTACTCCAAACGCCACACGTTTGCATCAAGAATTTCATCATTTTCATTTGAGACACAAGCATGTCTCGGGTGACGCAAACCTCCCATTTGTTTTTGCCATTTGTCCTTTACCGTGTTGCAACTTGCCACTCAGCAGATAAACTAAGTAATAAAAACAAATAACAAGTGCATGTTGTGCGTTAAACGGTTTAGTCATCGTTCCAATCATAAGTATTCCTCCCCCGCTTAGTTTAGATCAGGGTGCAGCAGCTAGAAAAATGATCACACCTTGAATGGTCAGTGTTTGACTGGGTTACTCCAATATTACCAGTGATGTGCGAGAGGGGGGGGGGTGTGGCCTGAGCACACAGGGGGGGTTGACGGTGGGATTGTCCAGCTGGCGGGGCCTGCCATGTAAGGGGCCCACAAGTCTGTCTGGAGCCATGGTTTCACACCAGTTAATGGATTACACCACGCAGGGACTGAAACCAGACAAACCTGAAAGTAGCTGCGCTAGAGCAGACTCCAGGCCTGCTGTGGCGAATGTAGTATGTTTCTGTGAGAAAACGCTTTACTCACGGCTTTGATGAATCCGTCACGTGTTGTTGACTTTCATACGGATTACGAGTCACTAGTGTTATGGGAATTACATGCCTGTGTGACGCAGCCCGCCTGGGTGCGTTGAACACGATAGCAATGTGATATGGGCACTGTGACACCACACTGCCGAGAAGTAGGGCGCGTCCCTCGCTTTCTCCTTTCCCTTAGTAATCTCTATCACTGTCATATAAAAGGTACTTTATTAGAATTTAATCTGTACTTTATCTGTGGTCCCACTTCTGCTTTCACTCATTCACTGCCACCATAACGTGCTGAATCAAGCTTTAGCATCGGCTGTGTTCTCCCCCCCTCACAGGCGAAAGGAAGGCCTTTGGTTAGATGAGCTCCTGCTATCTCGTGAACTCTGCACTCGCCTTTAGTAGCCCTTATCACGACTATGCCAGAGTCTTGTCATTCCCTGAAGTGCCCTTGTGTCAAATCAAAGACAGGGTGATTTTAAACGGAAGAAGAAGTCTCTACTTCGAACCTGTGCAGAGCTAAACTCTGCTACATGTGCTGTTTAACGTCAAATTGGATGTGAATGAGTTCAGGGAGCATGAGCTAGTCAGATTGGAACATGTGTACACCTGCCCATCAGATCAGAGCCAAGGGAATGTACGGAGAATGGTTGCAACTCATTAGGTGCTTCAAAGGTGTGTGTGTCTGTAAAGAGAGGAGTTTGGACGGGGGGGGCGGTGTGTTGGTAATATTTACAGGCTTGAGATGGAGAAAGTTGTTTTGTTTCCAAATGTTAGCAGTTGTTGAGGCGTGTTCTAGACAGACGGATGTTTGGGCTGCCGGGTCCCTGCAGCTACAGTATTCTTAAAATCCTCGCCCAGACTCTTCCTCCTCTTTTAAAAATCTGTGTTTACCAACCGTTTCTATCGTGCTGCACTGAGGCGGTCAGGTCTGTGGTGGTCTAGTTTTCCTCCGTAATCACCGTGTCGTTAATGACCTCCGATGGCCCGGAGGCACAGGGCCCTAATTGCTACAGCAGACAGCGTAGCCCCTGACTGACCCAGCTCCCCCATTACCGATGATGGACCACAAGAGACTACTACCACAGCAGAGCCGTCAATTTCACCTTCGGTTGTGCACTTATCCGTGCTTTTAATTTACTCAGGACGCTTTCTTTGTTTTAAAGGTTTTTGTTTTTTTTATGTCAGTGGAATAATGACGTCTGCTTTTTGTGCCATACCTTGAATGTTGTTATTGTCACAGTGCACCCAGACAGACCCGGTGTCTGTGAGTTGATGTCTATGGGGCTGAACCCGACACCCGTCCTCCATTACACGTCTCTTTGTAGAGGTGTTTGATTTCTTTTTTTGTCACTTGTTGGAATGTAGATGAGACCTGCTGTGCCTCGTAATGTTAAGCTTGAAGGTATGCAGCCTTCTGATTGGTCTGATCTCGGGGAGGGCAGTTAGCAAGACAAGTGTGTATAATCTAGAGCTAGAAGTACGATTTAAACCACTATCTTTCACCTTTCTCAGGCCTCCCATGTTGACGTGGACTTAAAACAGAAGAAGTGGTTCACTTGGCAGTTGCTCCTTTTATTTTTTTTAACAGTAAATGCAATAAAAAGAGCACAGATGATTTCAATATGAGTCAGTCTTTGTGGCGGTCCCTGTGTATTTCCTACATCATCACAGCGTCAATGTCGGACTTATTGGATGATGATACTCAGAATAAGTTGTTTTGGTGTCGCAAGATTACCCGATTATGTATTGTATGCAAAACAACAGTACAGAAGCATCTTTTTTTGGTTTTTCCATACATGCCATTGTCATCTACAATGTAACGTTTTTGTTTTAAAATGGTATTCTGGTCTCATTCTTTAATGTCAGAAAATGGGGTTTTACTGCATTATTAAAGAGAGAGAGAAAAACTTTCAGACAATACCCAGCTCTAGCTCCAGTTTAGGATAACCCATATTGTAAGCTACAAAACAGAGCTCCAGCACTCATACTAAATTATACTTCTTCCCCGATCGGCCCTAATTTATGATGAGAAAAAAATTATATAAACCCCTTTTTTTTCAGTGGAAGCCAAAGTTCTCAACTGTTATTGTTATCTAAACACAATCAAATTTACAATAACTTGCCTAAAAGAACAATTTGCATTTGAACAGCTATAGAAAGACAGAAAAGGGGCATAATTGCTGAGTCTGTGGTCTGCTGATACTGTTTTTTGATCTCAGGAGACACGGCAGACGCATTGGCTCAAAGCACTGCAACATACTGGGCTATTATAGTGGAGGCAACATACACCGGTTTGGGAATCTGAGCAGCGAGAAATCCAAAGTGAGCCCATGCTCACATTGGTGTGCCTTTGAACTAATCCAGGGCAGCAGACACAGACAGGATGGGCTGTAGCCTGCAGGCTGCTGGTTGGTAGAGACACTAGATGCAGCCCCAGAGACTTCACTTGAGAATCAGATCAGTAATCTGACCCTGAGATGCAGACAAAGGTAATGACTTTCCTTCCCCTAACATTGATTAGGACACTGTGTGTGTGTGTGTGTGTGTGTGTGTGTGTGTGTGTGTGTGTGTGTGCGCGTGCACACACACACACACACACACACACTGTCTGGTGGCGTCTGCTTGTCTTGATCAGCTCTTAGTCTGGTATCTATATGGATTTAATTTCAGCCAGTGCATTTTGGTAATGGTGCTCTGCTCGCCGTATACACACACACACCCGACTGTCTGTCTGTGTCGTTCAGCTCCCAGAAACCCACTGTGTTTGTGTAACCCTCCAGCCCTGCGGCGAGCACGCGTATTTTCCACAGACTCTCTCATCTTACCGTACCAGAGAAGCTCACCTCCTGTTTTGACTGTGTTGCTGCGCATGAGTAATTGTGAGCAACACGTACACACCGGCATGCTCACAGAGCCCGGTCATTAAGGTTAATGTGTGAAGGTGTTTGGAGTGGGACTACGCTGTGGTTTTTAGCTGGGTCCAAGTTAAGGCGATGCTGGTTGTGGCAACAATGTTTTATTAATCCCTTCCTCACCGTGTCCTGTCCCAACATGAATGGAATGATAGGAACTTCACACACTAGCGGCTCAGAGGAGTCGCTCTCTGCACCGTGTGCTCCCCTCTTTTTCCTCCACGGTTCCCTTTTCCTGTTATTTACCCCCCTCCAGCAAGTCAAAGTCTAGACTGGGTTTTAATGACGGTCGCAGCTGGTCACTTGGGCAGACCCCAACTGCAGCTGGGCCCCCCCCCCCTGTAAATCCCGCTTGTTGCCCCCCTCCGTATTGTCCTGACCAACTTGGGGCCGGCCCCCTTCCTGTCTGGCCCGGAGCAGCCCCCCCAACGTTGGTTACTGTTACTGTTAGCCCTGGTCGGTCCCCCCGTGCGCCGCCCATCCCCCCACACTGCTCCACGCAGAAGTGCGCTCCCCCACTCCACTCCGCTCTTTGTTCGTGCAGGGCCAGTCCAATCCCTCCTCATGTCGTCTTAATCTCCACACAAAGAACCAGTGTGAAGACCACCAATTACGTGGATACAAGAGCAGAGTTCACTCCAAAACCGCATACACGCCGGGTTCACTCAGATCCGTGTGTATCTAGGCTTGATGTTGCTCCTTCAAGTCGAGCTATGTAACACGTCTGCTCCGAATTCAGCGAGATATGCAGAGCGCTGTGCAAACATGGCATTTCGGTAAATGCCAGTGGGCGAAGATTTCTTTCTTAGACGTTGTTTGAATTAGTTGTGTTCTTGTGCACCGTCTGGCTTGACATTCATCTTTAATTTACTTCTTTTTTTTTTTTTGAGATCTTAGTTTCATATTATGTCGTCTTTTGTGAAAGTTTGTCAAGGCCTATAGGTGATGTAACCTCTTCTGACGGGTCCCAGAGATTTGTCTAGAGAGGTTTCCCTTTAATATTTCTGCTTTTATTGGTTGTAATGGGAAATGTTGCAGGGGAACGCTGCAATTCAATAAGCAGGACTGTTTAGTGGCAATACTGTGTTTTTTAATTCAACATGATGAATGACCATCATTTGTTAGGTATATAAGTAGCTGAATCGGGTTATTTTGATCTATAAATGGTTTCCATCTCTGTCAATATATATAAAATGACGATCTCTCTTCACATTGGCAGCCCGTAGCGTTGACTCTTGTTTGTGTGGGAGTAGACTATACACATGGTAATTCCACAAGGTAGCCTTTAACGAAAGGGAAGACTTTACCACAATCCAAACTCTTGGTAGACCACAAACCATCTATGGCACACTCGAGGAGGGACTGTGTGCGTGTGTTTTCAGCCATGTTTGGTTTCCTTGCTGAGCCTCTGTCTGTACGTCTGTGTACCATCTGTCTCACCACACACCGTCTCCATGATGGATGCTCATTGTAGATCATGGTGTTCTTATCAGATCGCTGTTGTTAATGTTGCTGAATATATGTTTGTCTCAGAAATGTACGTTTTCTTACTCGTACTTTGAGGATGTATTGATCCAAATGGCTGCTGTCTGGTCTCACTCGCTGATTGATTTCTTTCACTGAGAAGTAGTAAACATCAAGCCTAGAAGAAGTGTCTGGCATAATGGAAGAAGGGATTCAAGATGTCTGGCTTTGGTGATTGATATAGAGCATCTTCCAGCTTTCTGACCTGCAGCTGTTACTCCTGTCAGCCGTTATATTTGGCTAAACCATTCGCTCCACCAATGCTGCCATTTGGCTTGTTTTCCTCTCCTTATCAGGCCCAGCCTGCTTCACCTCTGCGTAATCTGCAGGAAATTCCATCTGCATGCGAACTGTGGTGAATTTGGACACACTCCAAGAGTTCCTGCCACTTTCCCGCTCGCCTCCTGGAGAGCAACACACGCACAAACACACACACACACGCACAAACACACACACACACGTGCACAAACACGAAACAGATGAGAAATGTTACCACCCTGTGGACAAGCATGGATGCATCAGCATACGCTACATGCAAAATATGCTCCCACACAATGCAACTTCCCAGAATTCAGCTCAGTGAAAGCCATTCCGATGACACCGGGTTTGTGGTTTTGGCCACTTGGGTGTTACATGCTGATGGCGCAATCAGTTTATTACTCATTTGAATGAATGTCCTCAAATTTGCTGACACTTTTTTGACAAACACCCAAAGACACAGAGGATTAGTGGAAGCTTGCCACTCTTAAAATCTTTTCTTTTCTCCGGTCCAGATATTGTCAGCGGTCCAACTGCTGCTGAGCCTCTTCTTCTTTTTGAGGGGGAAAGGATTTAAATTCCTCTCTGCTTTGTGTGTCCTCCTCTGTTGTTGTTGTTGTTGTTGTTGTTGTTGGTACGATGGTCTCGTCTTCGCCAAATCCAGTGTTTTGTGTTCCAGTTTTCTGACCAAGAATCAGCTCTCGGTCTGTCACGCCTCACAAGCGGCCCTGTTGTCAGTCGGGCGGTGACAGAGGTTCCGTTAAGCTCAACTGCTTCCCGGGGTTTTTCACCATGTGAAAACTAGTCTCCTCTAGCCTTGCCAGGTCCTGCTTGGCCCTCTGTTTGCTTGTGGAAAACCTTGGGAAGTAGCCTTTTGAGCTGACCTTACTCTAAATGAGAAGCATGTGTGACTCAAAATCACATTTCTCTCCAAATCTAATCAGTTTGCAGTTTCTCGCTCTCGGATTGCCCAACCCGACTCTGGTTCAGTTTCAGATGTGGCAAATCTGGAAGGACTTTCTGGCACTGACCTCTTCTTGCTTGTGAAGATGGGCCACCGTAGTTTTTATTATGGCGGCGGCAGGAGTTCCATTGTGTCCGCTTTAATAAGGTACCTGCGCAGGAGTGTGCTGTGCTCAATAAAGCTCCTGTCTCATTAGCGTAGACGGCGGCAGCTCTCTGTGTCGGTGGGAGAGGAATGGAGCAGAATGCTGCATTGGGGATTTGGCAGTAGCCCTCTTCCCTTGTTGGGTTTCACTTTGTCTGTCCCACTGGGCAGGTCTGTCTCCACCCTGCGTGTTTGGGTTCATCTGCAGTGAAGGATCTGATTTCAGGGCCGTCTGGCTGCTGCGGCTAAATTCCAAACTCTGTGTCTGCATGTCACAAAATGCCCACAACTGAACGGGACACTTCAATCTCCTGACCCTGTGGTGAAACTGTGGGGTTAGCTTGCCCCCTGCTGGACATAACGGGGAAGTGAAATGTTTTTTTAACCTCCATGGCTCCATCTGAGGAATTGATATTTACTTAACTCTCTCTGTCCTTTTCCCTGCAGCTTTACATTGTAACTGCACAAACTGTGAGAAGACTGGCTACGAGTGTGAAACAGATGGCGCCTGCATGGCCTCCACATACTACATCCAGGGGAAGGAGCAACACGTACGCATCTGTATCAACCGGGACAACCTGGTCCCCCCCGGACAACCTTTCTACTGTCTGAGTGCCGAAGGCCTGCTCAACACACATTGCTGCTATGTAGATTATTGCAACAGTATTGAAGTCCCTGGTGAGGCACAGTCTGCAAACATCAGAGCTCCTTCAGTTCAACAGTGGCCCGGTTTCAATTTAAAGTGACCACCTCTGCTTCTCCGTCTCTTTTCGTTTTGTTTTCTCAGTCCCAACAAAGGACTCGGGCCCAGGGAGCTCCTGGGGGCCGGTGGAGCTGGTGGCGGTCATCGCAGGGCCGGTGTTCCTCCTCTGTGTGCTGCTGATGGTCGGCGTGTTCCTGTTCCAATACCACCAGAGGGCCTATAGCCACAGGCAGAGGCTGGAGGTAGAGGACCCGTCCTGTGACCACCTGTACTTGGCTAAGGACAAGACCCTGCAGGACCTCATCTACGACATGTCCACCTCCGGATCAGGCTCGGGTCAGTGCAAGTGGCCCTCTGACGTGACATAATAATGTAGTGGAAAAACCAGTCTACGGGAATGTTGGCTAATGCTTTTGTTTGTCTCTCCACTGCCCCCTGCAGGTTTGCCGCTGTTTGTGCAGCGGACAGTGGCTCGGACCATTGTGCTGCAGGAGATAATAGGAAAGGGTCGTTTTGGTGAGGTGTGGAGAGGGAAGTGGAGAGGAGGAGATGTGGCGGTGAAGATCTTCTCATCCAGAGAGGAGCGCTCCTGGTTCAGAGAGGCCGAGATCTACCAGACGATCATGCTGCGCCACGAAAACATCCTCGGATTCATTGCAGCAGACAATAAAGGTGAGGATGTTTGTCGACAGTAACGGTCCATTATCGTAGTTCAATTTAAAGCATGATGTCTGACTTTTTTTTTTTTTTTTGCTCTCTTTCAGACAATGGTACATGGACTCAGCTGTGGCTCGTGTCAGACCATCATGAGCACGGCTCTCTGTTCGACTATCTTAACCGCTACTCTGTCACCATCGAGGGCATGATCAAACTGGCACTGTCTGCTGCCAGCGGCCTGGCGCACCTACACATGGAGATCCTCGGCACTCAGGGTGAGATCAGCTGTCACGTTTAAGCACAGCATGCAATAAATGAATAAACTAACTAGAAAGATCTCTGCCAGGTGTGTCTGCAACAACCACTGCTGTATTGATTAAATGAACACAACCCACAATTGGCTCAGCCCCCATCTAGACACCAATGTGTTGTAACGCGTCATCAAACACTCAAAAACTTGCAGTGATGTATGCAGGCAATCGGCTCAAAGTCGTCGTATACAACACGTCATGCAATCATGCTAAAAACCAAGCTGTGTGAGAGCTACAGTGGTGTGGGTACTGGTAGTTCTGTTAGCCAAACGCACCTTACAAAGCAATAACAGTGAGCTGAAGAGCCGAGAGGGACGCCGGCAATAAAAGGTGTTTTGAGAAAGCGTGACTAACGGCAAACGCAAGAGGTCTTTGAGCTGGCGGCCATAACTGGGCATCCAAAATATTATGTAGTTTGCTACAACAAAATGAAAGATTAGCCATGGTCAGACATAGAGATGCACACTCACTCACTCACTCCTGCATGCAGGCACACGCCTGCCTGATGGCATGATCCTGCTGGCTGAGATAATAATCATCATCGTGGACTTGAGAGTTAAGTAAGTGCTATTTCTGCTGAGCTCTTGATGCTAATGATGTGTTGTCTGTTCTCCTGCAGGTAAGCCTGGCATTGCTCACCGAGACCTCAAGTCTAAAAATATCCTGGTGAAGAAGAACGGCATGTGTGCCATAGCTGACCTCGGCCTGGCAGTCCGCCACGAGTCCATCACAGACACAATCGATATAGCGCCGAACCAACGCGTGGGCACTAAGAGGTAAATGTTTGCACAGTCATTCACTCAAACACACACGAGTGGAGGTCTGCATAATATGTCTACAAACCCCACGAGAAGATCACGTTAATGAGCCGCACTATTGAACATGTTTCTTCATAACAATGAACACGTAACTGTAGAATAAGTCCGACTTTCAACACTGTCCTGCTGCTGTAAAGCTGAAATGAGTCACATTCTTAGGAAATGATTTAACCGTACAAATATTGTTGAGCCATTTTTCCATCTTCAGCAAAACTCAATGAGCTGTGTGCCACAAACAGGGTGCAACAGTCTGACAGTAGTGAGAGACGCATTGTCTAAATATTTGATTGTCCACCTTCAGGTATATGGCTCCAGAGGTCCTGGACGAAACCATCAACATGAAACACTTTGATTCCTTCAAGTGTGCTGACATTTACGCGCTGGGCCTTGTGTACTGGGAGATTGCACGTCGCTGCAATGCAGGAGGTAAACAAACAGCAGCTGATGCTATTTATATAAATGAACGGGAGCATGAAACCAGCGACTGAGAATGCTTCCACACTGTGCACTGCAGGTATCCACGAGGAGTACCAGCTGCCCTACTACGACCTCGTACCCTCTGACCCCTCCATAGAGGAGATGAGGAAGGTGGTGTGTGACCAGAAACTCAGGCCGAATGTGCCCAACTGGTGGCAGAGCTACGAGGTACATCTCACTCGATGAACACTTTACACCTGTAGCGGACACAGTCAGTGGCTGTATAGAAAAGCAAGACATCTAACCTGTGTTCCCTCTCCTGCAGTCGCTGCGTGTGATGGGTAAGATCATGAGGGAGTGCTGGTACGCCAACGGAGCAGCCAGACTGACGGCCCTGCGCATTAAAAAGACGCTGTCTCAGCTCAGCGTGGAGGAGGACGTCAAGATGTGAGCGGCGACACGGTGTGCTGGAGACGCACAACCGGACCACACTCCCATAGGAAACAAACACTAAAGACAGACTGCAAATGAAAACCCTGCCAGTTTTAAAGCCACACTCCAAGTTGTGACGAGGCCTACCTCACCTTTTTAGCCAAAACTACTGAGTCACCCTCCCCCCTCCCCTTTTGACTTTACTCCCCCCACCCCACCCCCTCGTTCCTCGTGTCTCCTCCCTGTTCCCTTTGACCTCCCCCCTTCTCCATGGGCCACTACACTTACCGCTGTTAATATCATCACAATCAACCTTTTTATTTTCATTTCCCATGGCAGGAATTAGGACTATTGTACAGTGACGGGATTATTTAGTTTGATCCCTTTTACCTCTCTGAAACATGTCCCATGAAGGACTAACCTTGTCCAGAAGAGTCGAGAATGTTTTATGTTGAAGAAGAATAACACTGGCCATGCAGAATTACTGAGTGTGAGTGTGAGTGTGAGTGTGAGTGTGAGTGTGAGTGGGGAAAAGAGGCTGAAGCACTGTTTCTAGTCGTGTGTAAAAGGTGTCTGGACTACTAGCATGTTTCTGAGACACTGAGATGTCCTCTGGTGTAGGCTGTAGCTCATTAGACAAATCCAGTAGTGGGACGTTTAAGCATGAACACCCACATTTTAGCTTTTTTTAACCACTCACTTGAATATCCTTCAAACAGAGATGAGTTGCACTTGACTGTAGCTTCCTCATCATGTGTTACACCTGCAGGTATCACACACAGCCCGTGTGGTCCAGAGTCCTGTTGTTAGTTTAAAATGTGACGGGGGGGGGGGGGGGGGGGCGGTATTAACGTTCAGGATGGTTTGACTTTAATTTATTTGTCGATAGTTTTTATTTCATATTGATCAACACTGTGAGATGAGATGTGACAAGCCAGAGTCTAATATGATATGAAAATTAATGTTGTAGTTCAGTCCAAGTCTTCACCATCTGTCAGACGTTAGGTTACCGGGTTGTTGCGTTCATTTTACGCAGAAGAAGAGCGCAAATATGGATGTCGCCATGACCCCCGTTTGTGACAGGCGATGACATCATGTACACTGAGCAAATAAGAGGCATATGAAATTGCAACGGAAAATACTGTTTCTTTTTTAAATATATTTTTGCGTAAAGACATCATAATGGGTGTTTCCTTTTGACATTAGACACTACTGATGATGGGTACGTATGATTTGTATATAAAACATGCATTATTTCCTTTTTATGCCACAAGCATCAGTGTGACGTCTGAACGGTGATTTTTGCTTTAACGGTACTTTCAGAGGTCTGTTGTTTTGCTTTGTCTGCATGGTTTCTAACCAGGAAACAGACAGCCATCTGCTGGAATCTGTTTTTAACTTTGCGCCTCTCGTGGCAATTTGGTGGTACTACTGATCCCAGATCATTTCGCTGCAACCTGTTATTATTTTTGTATAATTGTTGAGTTCTTCTGAGAGTTCAGTAATGCAGATCTGTTTCTACATCATGTCCTCCGGGGTGACATCTCTTTCTCATTGACACTGGAATATTTCGATGCCTCGTGTAACCTTGAATTCTGATGAAGCCAAGTAGAGACGGCTGCTGTCGGTTCAGCCACAGGGAACATACGGTTAGTTGTGAAGAGTAGTTGAGACGTTTTAACCTCAAAGAATGACATGCTATTAAGTGAAACTGCATGTTTTCATTCTACGTTGTCGTCTGTCTGCAGACAAATCTATGAAAGTATTACACTGACAGTCGTCACAGTTGGGCTCTGCACTGTTATGTCCACATGGGTTTTAGTTCATGTTATGTCATCACTTCATCCAGAATCCCTGTGTCCTGTTAGAATCCCATTTTGCATGCTGTCTCAAACACTGGGTCCTCTGCACTGAGGTAGATGAACTTAAGACTTGTCTCTTCCTACCTGTTCTTGTTTTCTTCCTGTTTGTCCGGGTCGTTGGCTTGTACACCAGAAGTGTTGCTGCTACTGTTAACATGGGTGGAAGTTCAGCAGGCAGACCGGAGAAGGAGAGCTGGGAGAGAAGAGAGGGCAACTGCTGTCAGTTGAACCAAAATTGTCAAAACACTCCTGTCCATGTTTGGTTTGTTGCCATGGGTATATGACCATCAGACATCCTGTTCATATGTAATACTTCAATCTTTCAAAAAAAAATCATGTTGTGCAAATCTTTTCAGACTTAGTTTAAAAGTGTATATAGATGATATACAATAAATTCCTCTTTTTCTTACCTGGGACTGTGGTGCTCATTCAGGGTGGTATGCAGTGTTTTCATTGTCTCGTTCTGCTCCAGTTATAGACGGTTGACGTTCACACGGGGAATAAACAATAACTTTACAATCGGTGCTGATGGTAAATCTATTGAAATAGATTTCCCAGTGCGTGCTAAAGCTGATCTCTCCAGCTGTGGAGCCTGTTTAAAGAGTAACGTAACCCCCCCCAAACACTTTAATTCTATATATGCGTTACGATAAGTATGCACAGCGACTGCCCTCTACTGGTTGAAACCCGGCTATTGAAATGTAATATTGTAATTTGCTGATCTCGAGGCAGGGGACTTATAGTGCTGCAGGAATAAGTCCTAAAATAACAGCATGTGTGCACTTCGGGTTCCCTCGTCAAGTCAATGAGGTTTTTTTTAATGTGTTTTTGGTTAATGTCTGAAGTAAGTTCTGTGGTTAACACAAGCTTAACAGATTTTGTTGCAAGTATCCCTGTGAGAATTGGGAAGCTTTTAAGTGCCTTGAAAGAGGCAGTTGCTAACAAGATTTTATAATGATTTGCATATTTCTGCATAACAGGTTTTCTGGGGTTTAAGGGAAGGTTATATTTGATCTTAAGGGGTATTTATGTTGTTAAACAGACATGAGGTGCCTGACATAAAGTTTGGTAATTTTCTGGAGGATTAATTGGGTTGGCCTCCAATAATTCATCATCCCTGCACCATTATCATTTACAATGCTACTTAAAAATGAATAAAACTGCATTTGAACCAGAAAGGAAATAATAGGCAGGAGATCATAAGGCGAATAAACTGTGGAGAGGAATATTAGGGAAGAGTAGCTGTTAACCTTTCAATTAGCCTGTGAATCACTTGTGTACAGTAAGTCGCTAGCACACACATCCCAGCCGTGCATGTAAACTCAAATTCACAAATGTTTATAAGAGTTTATACTCTATTTTGTTGTAATAACAGTCCCCTTACAGCACTCATACCGAACAATAATCATAATAGATAGTCAGTGTGGTAGCGATTAGCATAAGCTACTCTCTGTTGTGTTTTTAGTGTAGCTTTTCAAGTCTGATACATAAACAATAACTTACAAAGTTTCAATAAAGGAAACATTGTTACACCTAAACAGTATTAACAATAACCTCCTGAATTCAAGTTTCTTGTACACCGTACAAATGTAAAGGCTTAATTGGCTTGTTAACTCATAAGCACTTCATTCAAACTGGACATAAACAAAATACAACTCAACATGTCTTAGTTTGTCTTTCCACCGTGGCAAATGTTCCTTTTTAAACAACTGCGGTCAAGTCAGCAGACACTTAAATATTAGTGCGCCTATATTCTGAAATTCACGGTAAACGCATTCAAACGGCACAGATCGGGAGCGAGCGAAGGACTTTGCAAAATTAGCGGAAAGATGAATTTCAGATTAGATTTTAGAGGAAATGGTGCATAGTTACAAAATAATTTCACTCTGCAATAGCAGACCACCTCAAGGTGTCACTCGGAGAGAACCAGGACATTCTGATGCAGCATTTCAAAATGTAATTGATTTATTGCACACTTCACGTTGGCATTTCTGTAATAACTAGGCTATACAGTTTCCACCCTCAACAAAAACACTCAAATTCAAAGAAGTGAAAACAATTAGTTTACTTATTTGAGTAGATAGTTGTGTTTTTCACACTGAAACTGGTATTCAAGTCGTCTACAAATACGATACAATGACGTGGTAGCAACGCTATTGAGCCGTTTCTCCGTTAAATCTTTAAATACTTACCCTTGCAGTGGCGGCATTTTGAGTACTGATGGCCCGACTTGCGAACATTCAAGTCTCACTGTGAATAAGCGAAGCACCCGAAAATAAACGACACAACAAAGACGTTGCAAAGACAGCACAGCGAATTGGTTTTGTTTTCTAAATGACGATGACGAAAATGGCGGACATGTGCATTTCAAAGTTCAAAGTTGAGGCGATTCAATTTTGAGTCTTTTTTTTTATGTTTTTTTCCATCTTTAACATCTTACATTCTTTTTGAAGGTTTATATTTCACTCATTGTCAGACATTAGGTGTGTGATTATATGTTATTAGGTTTTGACAGCACCTTCAAGACGTAATCTTTTTTTAGACTTTTACTTAAAAACAACTTAATTGGCACTGTAAATATCTGATGTCTGATTTTCAGTATGGGTGGAGTCAACGAAATCTTGAAGACATATACATCAGTCATTGTATGGAAATATTGACAATATTTTTATAGCACCTTACAAATTTCAGAAATTAGCTATTTGATACAATTTCAGTTCAATTTAGTTGTATTTTCCATTTAACTCACGAGATGCAAGTTCTATACTTAATGTAAATATTAATTTAATCTTATTTCCACAAAATGGAATTTGTATATACGCTTAGTTGACATTTTATGGAAACCGGATGTTGTATCACGTAAATCTTTCCCGCATAATTGACATCTTATTTTGAAAGCCGGATGTTGTCTCACGTTAATCCCTCCGCTAACTTTGCAAAGTCCTTCGCTCGCTCCCGATCTCTTCTGTTTGAATGCGTTTACCGTGACTTTCAGCATATAGGTGGTGCACTAAAATTCAAATGTCTGCTGAGTTGACCACGGAGATCGGAGTGTCTGCTGAGTTCACTGCGGTTTTTAAACAGGTGTTGCTCTCTGTAATCAACCCTCGTGTACACCTGACCATTAAAAGGTACTCCACTAATTTAGCTTTGCACTTCTACAACATTGTCTGACCTGGAGCTCGCTACATAACCCACAATGAAGAACTCCATCAGTGAGGTCTGAGACCGCTCCTTACCAACTCCATACTAGCAGATTTATAACATTTTCTTCTTGTGGAATCAGACTCATGTTTAGACTGGATGCTAAAATAAATGTCAACATTCTGAACTCGTGGTTCACTTGCTTGATTTTACATGGATGGTTCAGATCTCCCGACGAATTACGACCGCGTTGGCATCACGTGACCAACTTTCCATTATTAAGTCACGTGATGCCAACGCGAACCATCTCCATAACGACTTGTCAAACTCAATCCACTGGAGGCTGTGAGGTGTGACAGAAAGCTCCAAAAGAAATGGAAGTGGAGCTTGTTTTTATTATTATTTCAAGAAGAGACCTTCAAGATAAAGTATCAATGCCGCGTGAAGTCTGTTTTAAAAAAAAAGAAAGATTAGCACATATTTAAAATGCATTTTATTTTCCTTTACAAGAAACAAAAGCAGACAAAGAAATAAGATGAAGGGAAAAGGGAGTGGGAAAGCTGTATATAAAGAGATGCAACTTCTGGCGTCCTGAAAAAAATATGTACAATTCAAAATAATATCCATACAAAACATGCCACATACAATAAAAATGATCATTATATTTATTCATATTCCCTAAAAGTATCTCTGCTGTACAGATGCAACATCTTTTTAAAAAGTAGGTGAGGTTAAAAAAAACCTTCAATTTGAGCAAACTTTATTTAAATTATAGGATATGCAGAGAATTTAAATTAAGATTCAGAGAAGTTAAAAATGATTCAGGCTAAAATCCAGTGAGCGGCATAATGTCTCGTCATGGTCTTCCCTTGAAATAGAAACATACCAAAATATATATATATATATATCACTGCTTCAGATACTTGATCAATATCTACCACTTTAGAGAAGTTCTCCGTTATACTATGAGAGTGCAATTCATTACCAGGTTAAGTATGGGATTAACTTTGAGTATTACATCATAACATACATTAGGCCAAGTAACCGTTTCACAAGGTTTACCAACACATTCACTTCTATAGGGAAGATATCAAAAGCAAAACACTAACAATAGTCTAGGGAGTTCAAGATTTTCCATTCAAGAGTATATTAATCCAATTGTGACCGATTAAGGGACAGGTTTTGGTAATCGACAAGCAGTAGCATAAATAAAAAGAAAAATAAACACGAACAATATTACATAAATACAAATGCTATGCACCATTGTACTGCTTTACGCAAGTAGTGATTTCCACGTCTAATCACCGACCGTCCACATGAATCCAAACAGTTTCGTAATCACACCGGCTTCTCGTCGCAATTGATTTGAGAAGACCAGACATTTTTCCTCAAACCTATTTGAACAAACTTGTCTGAGAGCTTATAGCAAAAACACTAATAGAAAAACAGGTAAATGCAAAACACTCTGGTTCATATACATAAAGATATTAGTTTGCCATTTTACATATATTTATATTTATATACAGCTTTATCTTTGTTAAAATGATATCCAGTGGTTGATTTTTTTCAATTTTATTTCTCTACACTTTTTGACTTTATTGATTACAAAGGGGCTGGATAAAGAGTTGCTGTCCCCTAATGCATATACTATATATACAGTTTGTACAACTTTGCATTTTTAATTCATGTGAGGTCTTAGGTTAGGGAAAAGGGGGGGGGCAGGGGGACCGCTACTTAAACAGA